CAACAAGTAGTTCATTTTTAATTTTTTAAGGATCCTATATATTGTTTTCCATAGTGGTTGCACCAGTCTACATTCCAACCAGCAGTGTACTGGAGTTCTCTTTTCTCCTCCTTCTTGCTAGCACTTATTGTTTGTTGATTTATTGATGGTAGCCATGCTGGCAGGTGTGAGGTGATAGCTCATTGTGTTTTTAATTTGCATCTTTCTGATGATTAATGATGTTGAGCATTTTTTTATATGTCTATTGGCCAAAAATTTTACAGTGTAAGGCATTGGTAATTACCCAGTGACTGGCCTGGCCAGTTTATTTCTTAAGAGTTCAGAAATGAGAAAAATACAAGAATCTGAGAGAATAGGATGGCTCAGGAGAGAGGTGACATTTATACAGGATTAACAAGAATTTGATAGAAGCAATAGTCTATACTTGCTGTTATGGCTTTATTTGGATAAAATGTAAGTTTAGTGAGTGGCTAGTTAGAAGCATAGTTTAGACTTTCCCTCATTAAATTGGATTATCTCAATAAAATAGAGAACATTATAGAATTTTCTGAGTTTTTAAATAAAAAGTTAGCAGTCATTCTTGGACTTCTCACTATAACCCATGCTAGTGGCATGTAAGAACTAGACCTCAGGAAGATCTGAGTCTGAGATGGTTAATATTATGGGTCCAATTGGCTAGATCAGTGGTCAGCAAACTCATTAGTCAACAGAGCCAAATATCAACAGTACAATGATTGAAATTTCTTTTGAGAGCCAAATTTTTTAAACTTAAACTTAATAGGTAGGTACATTGTTATTACCTTAATTAGGGTACTCCTAAGCTGGCCTTTGCTAAAAACGTTCTCAATCTGATTGAGGTATGTTTGCTGAGGTCGATCCCTTCCAACTCTCCCATCCACACTCGTCTTGGATACTTGTTTCATTTATCTTTTGTCACCCGCGCGTGATTTGCGGACGCAACTAGCACTAACCACTGCACATGAGACTGCTGACTGACTGGCTCACTTAACTCCTGCATGAATCGCGCGTGCCTCCCCCGTGCTGCATATCCTGAGGCCTGACCGACCAACACCCCCCACTTCTTCTAACGCCACTTCTTCAAAATAGACTTGCCCAGGCCAAAACCTGACTTCTGCGCATGGGCCACAAAGTTTCAATCACACTGTATGTGCAAGCCTGCATGTGGTATTTTGTGGACGAGCCACACTCAAGGGGCCAAAGAGCTGCATGTGGCTTGTGAGCTGTGGTTTGCTGATCACTGGGCTAGACCATAGTGGTCAAATGTTATTCTGGATGAGGGTGCTTTTGGATGAAATTAACATTTAAATCTGTGGACTTTGAGTGAAGTAGATTGCTCTCCACAATGTAAGTAGGCCTCTCCCATCAGCTGAAGGCCTGAATAAACAAAAGAATGGCCTCCACTGAGCAAGAGTGAATTCTGACAGATAGCCTTTTGGATTTGAACTTCAACATCAGCTCTGCCCTGAGCCTATAGCCTGAGACCCACACTGCAGACATTGGACTTGCCAGGCTCCACAGCTATGTGAGCCAATTTCTTAAAATCTCTCTCTCTCTCTCTCTCTTTCTCCTTCTTTCTCAGTTCTATTTCTCTAGAAAGCCCTGAATAATACAGAGTTCATTACAAAAACTCAGAAAATGTTTTATGAGTTAATTAACTAAAACAAAGGAGAAATGGTAATATACTATTTTTTATATGAAGACACTCGAGTAAAAGCATTGTGTACTGCATAGTAACAGAAAGTCTTTTGTGCAAACATAATGACCAAGCCAGAGAAACTTCACTCAGAACATTAATATCCAGAGTATGTGGACATCGCTGTAGATTGTCTGTGACCTCTTCTCTTGCTTGTGGAAAAAGAGGCCAGGATTTATTTAAAGTTCTGACCCAACTCCTTCATTCTTTTGCTTAACCCACTCCAGTAACTTCTCCTCACATTCAGGGAAGTCCCAGCTCCTCAGCAGGGCCTGCAGGGTCTTCTGCTCCAGCCGTCTTTCAGCTTTCTCCTCACTCTTTACAATCTGGCAATGCCGAGCCACTCAGGGGCTCTGGCATACTTGAGCTGTTCCATGCCTTCTGGCTCCCTGCACAGCCTTGTAGCACTGAGAGAGGGCAGCAAGTCAGGCCAGTAAGTACAATAGGGAGATGGAGACAGATAGCTGAATAAGCTGGTTGAGCAATTTACAGCCAGATACAGAAGGTCACTTCCCTAGAGGTAACATTTAGGCCTCAGTTATATTTCAGTTTCAGGCCCAGAAAAGCAGCAAAACCAGGTGCCTGGTCAATCCCAGGACTAGCTGCAATCTAATGAGTGACCCCCCTTCCCTGGCACTGACCAATCAGTAAAGGCCACAACCTTGAAAGACCACACCTGGAAAATTGATAAAAATCCTGCTAAACCACTCCCCTGAAACCTCTCCTAAGGTTCCCACCTGTAAGAGAGAGGTAAAACCCTAAAGACAAAGGACCCAGCAGGACCCAGCATCTCCTAAACTCTAAGGGTCCCCATGAGACTTGCAACCCGGGGAGCAATGAGCAACAGCAGCTTGTCCCAGGCTTATACCCTGAACCTGTCTCCAAGTCCCCCTTTTCCCTGACTTCACGGTGAGCTAAAGCAGTCCAGCCTGGGCTCTCCTGTTGCTTCTTCTATGCTAAGCCCTCCCTTGTTTCACTGTCCCCAGCTTTAATACTCACCTTGATTCATGTTGTGAAATCTTTCCTATATGAATTCAAGAACCTGCCCACTGTAAGACAGCCCTGGGCAGACCCACTAGGGCCAGGTCCCCTTTTTGGTAACAGCCCTCTCCCTC